TTAGGCAAATGAGCTGTGTCTCGGTCGTTTATGTGCTTACGGTTGGAGAAGCGGCAGGTCTGCGCGTGGAAAAGTGCACCCTTTCCACACATCTTTCTAGTTCCTGGTTGGGATAATGTTCAAAATCTAAACTCTTATTCCTTATTGAGTTTAGGTACCCTTAAAAATGCAAAATGTTACCCCACTATGATTCAGTCTTCTCTTTTCCGCGTCCCCCCGGCCCGAATTGCGAAAACAGAAGTAACAGCAAGAATGCTTCTCCAAAGATCTCATGTTTGCCCACGCACTTGAACCTATAGCCTAAAGCCCCGAAACCCTGAGGGATAGCGCCGAAAACAGCCCGAAACCCGACACCCCGAGCCTGAAACCCCAAACCCGAAACCCGAAAACCCCTAAAACCCAACAGTTCCTTCGCCCTGGCCTTCCGAAGAACCCACCCCTGGACGTGAGCGCTCAACAAGGGTTAGGGTTTCGGGGCCCAAGGTTAAAAATCGGGTTTGGGAACCGTACTAGCAATAGGGCGCAGGTCGCGAAGATAGTACTTTTAGGGTTGCAGGGTCGGTCTAAACCCTAAACCCTAAACCCTGAACCCTAAACCCTAAACCCTAAACCCGGTCTTATAGAAAGTTCATCAAACAAGACATCGAACCAAGGTTTGTGAGACTGGAGATGTACTTCTAGGGTCCCTAAAGGAGGGGGTTCATGGGGGGCTAGGCACGAGTATGTAGGGATCCTGAACGAACGCCTGGAACCCTACACCCTAAACTTCGAAACTTCTAAACTTCTAAACCCTAAACCCTAAACCCTAAACCCTAAACCCTAAACCCTAAACCCTAAACCCTAAACCCTGAACCCTTGAGAGCCCTGTAGTTTCGGGCTTGGCCTTGGGCTCAGAGGCTCAAAGCAAGCGGGATGCTTCCCGAACAGTTCCGACGGCTTCGTTTCCCAGACAACTTCAGGTCGGTACACCCTAAACCCTAAATGCTACACCCTCAAAAACCCTAAACATTCTACCCTAAACCCTAAACCCTAAACCCTAAACCCTAAACCCTAAACCCTAAACCCTAAACCCTAAACCCTAAACCCTAAACCCTAAACCCTAAACCCTAAACCCTAAACCCTAAACCCTAAATGCTGGGAGGTCTAGGGAGGTCTCTCTCCACGAGGAGGCGCCGTAGCAGTGCTGGCATCATCGCTTTCCATCACCGAAACGCGGGGAGCACTGGAGTCAGCTGCGATTAGAGGCGACTAGGCCCAGGGACAAAGGGAAGCATAGGGTTAGGGTTTAGGGTTTAGGGTTTAGGGTTCAGGGTTTAGGGTTTAGGGAGCATTCTGATGGCTTCATGGCTGCTGCTGGAGTTGCCCTCGTGTCTCTTTGCTCGCACTCCTCGGGGTATGGGCCTCTCTTACATTGATGAGTTGGCACTGCCAATCTACATCCACTCTGATACGTCTCATGGCATGGAACAACATGCAGCAGCTATATGAGCCGCAGGCGTGCATGGACTGTCGTGATTCCTATGCAGCCTCAGCAACCAGCACATCTACTAGAAGTTTAGGGTTTAGGGTTGAGGGTTTAGGGTTTAGGGTTTAGGGCACATAGAGATGCAAAGTTAAAGCTTAGATGCTGCTGCATGCATGCGCGATCATCATGGGGGATGGCCGCATCCTGCAGCGAGGTCCCTTCGCCGGGCCCCTTGCAGAGTAGCTGGACAGTTGCCAGACGGTGGGAGCAAAGCCTCATGTCCGTCACAACATAGAAGAATGGTGGGTGAGGGGCGGGGGGGGGGGGATTTTTGCTTTCAGTGCCTCCTCTTTGGGTATCTAAGGTAGGACATGTTTCGCTGCCAGTTGCAGGAGGGGCTCTGGGGCCTCAAGCCCAAAAAGATCCTCGGGCTGAAACGGTGGGATACGTGCGTTCCTGGTCCCCAAGAAAAGCGCAAAGTGGCCCCAGGGTTGGGGTTTGGGGGGGGGGGGGGTTTGGGCACTATTTCATTGGCAAACCTGGTCGTCATGGCTGTGGGTAGCGGGAAGCTCAAGGGGCTTGGGCGCCGCCCCTCCCTCTCTTCAGTGGGCGAGCGGCCGGCATTGATAGTTTACCCATGAAGCCCTTCGAACTTTCGTGGCGGAGGTTGGGTCCCAGCTTCGGGTTTAGGGCTTTGCCGGCAGCCAGGAATTCTCTGCAATGGATTGGCAAGTCAGGGACTCCACTGTACGAGCTGTAGATCGGGGGTTTCGAAAACTGGGGTACCTTGTTCTTGTTTTGTTTGGGGGGGGATCCAGAACACAGATTCTATTGTAGTATTTTGAGGGGTGCCATATTGTGGGAGATGCTCACATGTAGTGCAACTTGACTCCTGAGCACCCGCGCTCACGATCTCATTCGGGTTGTAGACGCTGAGCACAACCACATAGTTCAAGCCTGCAGCTTCGAGAGTAACTTGTGGAGCATGTGCGCAGCCGGCCGCTGAAATCTAGATGCTGCACCCTAAACCCTAAACCCTAAACCCTAAACCCTAAACCCTAAACCCTTGATCCTAAACTCAGCAGTCAACGTGCATCTGAGAACGTGCAGCCGCGTGAAGCCCGAAGCCCCTCCACTCCCAGCATGGGTGAAAAACAGCAAGTGCACCTGCCTAAGGGGTATAGGGAGGGAACAAGATTCAGGCACCCCTAAAAAAATAGGTATATACCTGACAGAGTCCCTAAATGCCTAAGCAGAAATAACACCCCAAATTCCCTCGCAAGGGTCTAGGGTTTCGAAGATCACCAGTAGCTGCCCGAAAACGGCAGCAATGAGAAAACCCATGGACTCCGACATGCACGCCTTCACGCTGGAGGATTTTTCCGCTGCTGCACCACGCCTCACCGGCAGAAGCATGTGGCCTGTCCGCCAAGTCCTTGGAGACTGTGCTCATCTTCCCGAGAACTTGCATCTTACCCGCATGCCAACTCTTTCCAGTCGAGAGATGTTTCAACATGCCACTGCAAGAACGACAGTCCTCATGGCCTCGCAGAAGAAACTCCTGCTTGTGATGAGAAACCCCCCCTCGGGGTCACATGGGAAGCCGGAAAGACTCTGCATACAGCTCAGGCAAGACTGGGCATATCTTGACATCCAGCTTGTGCCTGTACGTGCTGTTTGTACAAGCAGTGGCGGCAGCGTAGTCCTTGCGAACAAACAGGAGCTCCACGATCCGTGGCATTCCCAAGCCGGTGCCATTCACCGTCCAAACGCCGAAGACGTTGCAGGCGTGGCTGTGCACAAGGTCAAATGCTTCTAGGATGTGGTAAAAAGTTTTTGCGTAGGTTGCATGCCTCTCCTGCTTTTCAAGCCAGTGTGCTTCCATGATGATCATGCGAAAGCGCCTGAGCACCGCCAGTGGCACATCAGGCAAAACGCTCCACTCACAGCCTTCACAATCGATCTTGAGGATGAGGTCCTCGTCTTCTTTTGCGTACTTTGACAGGATGTCGTCGAAAGTCACAAACATGGAAGCGGGTCTGCCGCCAAACGGCTTGCCAACACATTGGCTATGGTGTGTGAACCTACATCCAGCGAGGTTGCCGGGACAGCCATAGGAAGGGCCGGTGCAGTCAAAGCCATGAACATGCAGGTTGTATCGACTGGACAGCACAGCTCCAAACGGATCGCTTCCGCGGATGCCTATTGACACCGCCACGGCCATACCTGCGGTGGCTGCAGCCTCCTTACAAATCAAGTATCCACCATCCTTACCTGGTCCAAGCCGCTCAAGATCTTCGGAACCGCTTCTACACTCATGGCACAACCGAAATGCTTTCAGCAGCTCCAACGAGACGGCCTTGTAAGGAAGCAAGTAGTTAGTCTTAGTCGGATTTTCTGGAGTATATGTCTGCGCGTAGACCTCGAAGAGCAAATCTTCTGGTTCACCTAAAGGTTGCGTGGCTGTCAAAGACCATCGGCTGAGCGCCTCAAGCCCACCGATTCCACTTGAATTGCCCTGACATTCTTGTGTCATCTGCATCTCTGTCCGGCAAATGGTACTTTCACCAAGGTCTTTACGCAGAAAAGTGGCCCACACCACCCGGGGCATAATCAAGGAGTGTGATGGCATATGCCACCGCCCATGACATGAAGATGCACTGACGCTGACAAGATAGAAATCCTTCAACAGCTTCTGCAACAGTTGCAAGTACAGCAGGTGCTTTGATTGCTGCTCCAGCCAGAAGAATTTGACTACCAGCATTTGATACTGGCGCAAGCGGGCTGATGAAGCTACTGAGAGCACCCGAGACTCCAATGGCTCAATGTCAAAAATGCCCACCAATTTGTCAGTGTTGTCAGGTGTGATCTTGATGTTCAGATCCGGAGGAAATGGAGCTTCCTGCTGGTCGTAAAAGCAGGTCTTCCTGAATTGCACTCGGCACTCTGGCCGACCTTTCGGACATCTTATGCTGCTTTCCGGCACGAAGCAGTCGTGCACTGTGACAGATCCAGGCCAATGCAACCCTGCCTCTGCCAAGCTCGAACCAAATTCTGTCCATGCTTTGGCGCCGAATAAAAGGATTCGCTCTGTCTGCTCCAGGACTTCTGGACAAATGCCAATGCCAGGGCCTACGTGCAGCAACTTTCCACTTTTCCCACAGCGGCCGCATACCTGGAACTTGCTCATGCACTCAGCGGTGAGATCACTCGGAGTCACCGCATAAATGGATTCTAGCAGCTCCTGGTGGAATGGGGCTCGCTTCCAGTCCTCTTCCAATGCCCTGGGTGGTGTGTGCAGCGCTTGTTGGGGGTCTTTCTGTTCCGGGTCTTTCCGTTCCGGGTCTTTCCATCCCCGGTCTTTCCGTGCGTGCAGCCCGATGGACGACTCCATCAGCTTCTCACGGTTGCGCAAAGTCGGCAACAATCCGCCATGCGACGGAAGGCAGGACGCAATGATGAAACCAATAGCTGCCAATGTGGCCGCGGCCATGAACAAGACGTTGCAGAACTTCATTTTAGATCACCCGGCAGAGACATGGCTCGACATGATAAGGAAAACCGGGAGATATTCAACTAGACTTATGTGAAAGCAGAGTCTCACCTCATTTCAATTCCAGTTTGCAATTCCAGTTGGTTCCACAGCTCTTGCAGGCGCTAGACGTGACGGGCTGCGGTGCAAAGGCCAACCTTGAGAGCGAAAGAAGTAGCAATGCCATATCGGCAGCTATCAGCATGCAGCACGAGGAGGGGGGCCTGGGCTTATGGTCTTGCGCTTCTATAGCCGTTTGGGCGGGGGGGGGCTCAAGGGGCTCAGGATTCCTGGTTCAGGAGGGCCAGGGGTTTAGGGACCCTATGGCTTCCGAGATTCGGCTTCTCAAGGATTTTTTGGAGGCCAAAGGACGGCGATCCTGAGAACCACACTCGACTCGAGCCCAATCGGGCCCCAGCGCCTGAAACCCCCAGTAAGGCCCAGCGATGTTCGACTCTCGTTACCCTAAACCCTAAACCCTAAACCCTAAAATGCATCTTTTTTCGGGATCTTCAGGGTCTGCATACCCCCTTAGTTGCGGAATATACCTTAAACCATGTTAGAAGGGTCTCTATATGTAGCTTAAGGTATATTCCTTTATTGCGGGGGTACTTTAGGGCTCTTTGGGGATGAGCAGCTGCGGAGTTCGCAAGAAGGGTTTGGGTCCCTAAACCCTAAACCCTAAACCCTAAACCCTAAACCCTAAACCCTAAACCCTAAACCCTAAACCGCGGAGTTCGCAAGAAGGGTTTGGGTCCCCTGGCCTGCAGTGATCGGACGCGGATTCCGGTATCGCACGGTGACCTGCGCTTCGATTGGGCTTGGACTTCCGACATGGCAAAGGGTTTAGGGTCTTAAGTTTTTAGGGTTTTCGGATCTTGGGGTTTCGGGTTTAGGGTTTAGGGTTTAGGGTTCAGGGTTTAGGGTTTTAGGGTTTTAGGGTCTAGGGCTTAGGGTTTAGGCTTTAGGGTTTAGGCTGGGCGGTCTGAAGCATGGGCTTCATCCCTTCCCCCTAATATTCAACCCCCCCCCCCCCCCCCAAGCCCTCTAATCCTAAGTGCTCCCCCAATTATAGTTAGATTATAAACCCTAAACCCTAAACCCTAAACCCTAGACCCTAAACCCTTACTAAACCCTAAACCCTAAACCCTAAACCCTAAACCCTAAACCCTACGTATATAAGGCGGGGGGCGGGGGGTATTCAATGCTAGGCGGTAGGGGGGGTTTAATATTAGGGTGGAAGTGATTACTTCCTTAGCTGGAAGCGAGACTCAGTTCTCGCGTTCCACGGACCCAGTTCTGTGTCCTTGGCCACCCCAGCAAAAAGCGCACGAAAATTCCCGATTGAGGGTTTAGGGTTTAGGGTTTAGGGTTTAGGGCTTAGGGCTTAGGGTTTAGGGTTTAGGGTTTAGGGTTTAGGGTTTAGGGTTTAGGGGACTTCGAATCCTTGCCAGAGCCCCTTTGAAAGGTTTTTCCGGGGGGCCTTGGTCGAATCATCCGCGTCGACCTGGTGGGAGTGCTGGCGATTCGACATCTTGGTTTAGGGTGTTCGGTTTAGGGTTTAGGGTTTCGGGTTTCGGGTTTCGGGTTTAGGGTTTAGGGTTTAGGGCTATTCATGTGAACTTTAGGTTCTTCGTCTTAGTAGCCCAGTAACCATAATATCATAAGGGCACCTTTTTTGGGGTTGGTTACTTTTTAAGGGAACCTTGAACCAAAAAAAGGGACAAGGGTACCACTGGGCTGCCAAGACGTCTCAACCCCAAAGCCCCCCTAACCTCAACTCTGATCCAGGACCCTTTCCACGATTTACATACCTCAAGAACCCAGAACCTACCAGTTTTTTGTAGGGTTTAGGGTTTCGGGTTTAGGGTTTAGGGTTTAGGGTTTAGGGCTGCCCAGGAGTCATTCTGAGAGTTATAGAGCAAGAGCCCAGAAAACAGTATGTGTTGGGTGCTAGCCTGCAAGCAGCCATGCTGCGGGCGGTTCTCTAAATCTTGTCTTCTGGGGATTGGCTACATGCGGAACCTCATCATCTGTGAGGTTCCCCAAGAGGGGACTATGTTTAACAGAGCTGCCCATGCCGCATGCCGGCAACAAGGCCCACAGAGTTTTGCTAACTCATGATACTTGGGGTTGAGTGAACGTCTGCGCGGTCTCCGCCACACAATGCCTATTGGAACTTATAGGGTTTAGGGTGAGGGTCTCGAGGGTTCAGGCCCTAACCCTAAACCCGAAACCCTAGACCCTCAACCCCAAAAAACCGGCTTCGGAGACATCAAACTGAGCATGGAGCCAGGCAAACCAGGTCGTCTTCAGGCCAGACCTGGACGCAAAGCTAGGAGGGGGGTTGATCCCCCGAAACCTACTTTAGGCATTCTAGTGCCCCCATTTAGAATCCCTCTAAAGGACGGTTAGTATAAGGAGGAACATCCCCAAAATGTTCCTGATGTCTTTTGCCTTTCTGGGTCTAAGAGGAGCATATTTAAGGAACCTAACTATGATCCTCTCGAACCCAAAAAAAACAGTAAAACGATGAAATAGCCCAAGGGCCCAAAAGACCCCAACAAGAGTTTACTTGGTTGCTCTTCAATCCCCCAATAAAAGTTTAACTTTTTAGCTCCCTGAATATGAAACTAAGGGAACCCCAAAGTTTTTCATATGATAAAGTTGTAGTAAAGTCTCACCTCTTGGCAGCCCAGTAACCATCTCTTAATGGGGGCACCCTTTTTGGCGGTTGGCTATTTTATCAGGGAAACCAGAACCCAAAAAAAGGGTAAAGGGTACCACTGGGCTACCGAAACCTAGTTTCAGGGAACCGCTAGGCGGGAGTCTCGGAGTCCAGCTTGATGCTAAGAACTGGCATCTGTTGGGGTTTTCGGTCTAGAGGGTTTAGGGTTTAGGGTTTAGGGTTTAGGGTTTAGGGTTTAGGGTTTAGGGTTTAGGGTTTAGGGTTACGTCGGATCCCCGACCCCACCCCTCCCCCAAGTCCCTGGCGAAGCCAGGGTAGTAGACACCAAGGTAGGTGTACGGCAACTCCTGGCCAAGGAGGATTTCGGGTTTTTAGAGGGTTGAGGTGGTTGAGGGGGCTTCCGGGAGCTTAGGGTTTAGGGATCAGGGTTTAGGGCGTCCGGGAGCTTAGGGGGAATTCGGGAGGGCTCTTTATGTTAAGTAACAGGCTTCCCAAGAGCCTAGAAATCCCACACACCCTAAACCCACAGAAATTCGCAGAAACTCAGAAGCTGTAATCCTTTGTAGCCCAAAAGGGCAACCTTTTGGGGGTTGGTTACTTTATAAGGGAACCCAGAAACCAAAACAGGAAAGGGAAAAGGGCACCACTGGGCAACCTAGAATAACCCTAAACCCTAAACCCTAAACCCTAAACCCTAAACCCTAAACCCTAAACCCTAAACCCTAAACCCTAAACCCTAAACCCTAAACCCTAAACCCTAACCCTAACCCCTAACCCCTAACCCCTAACCCCTAACCCCTAAACCCCTGAACCCCTAAACCCTAAACCCTAAACCCTCAAACCCTCAAACCCTCAAACCCTCAAACCCTCAAACCCTCAAACCCTAAACCCTAAACCCTAAACCCTAAACCCTAAACCCTAAGCCCTAAGCCCTAAGTCCTAAACTAAAAAAAAAAAGAAGCCCCCTGCAGCGCACCTCCAGCTCCGAAGTGCATGCCTTGGAGGGCTCGTGCACGAATGTGAAGCCGGACGGCCTCGCGGCAGTAGAGGAGCTCGGGATCAGGGTTTAGGGTTTGCGTTTCAGGGTTTTGACGCGGGTTTAGGGTTTAGGGTGTAGGGTGTAGAGTTTACAGTTTAGGGTTGAGGGTTGAGGGTTGAGGGTTGAGTAATTAGGGTAGGGTTTGTTAGGGTTTATTAAGGTTTTGTTTGAGTTTGTTCGGGTTTGTTAGGGTTTGTTAGGGTCCGTTCGGGTTTGTTCGGGTTTCTTAGGACTTCCTATTTGCAGTAAGCGCCAGGCGCTACCGCCCTGATCTCCCCGTTCATCTGGATGGTGTTGAATGGCCGGACTCCTGAGGATGAATTTAAACCCTCACCCAAAAGTATGCTTCCTGTCCAGTCTTAAGCCTCCACTACTTAGTAGTGCGGCGCGGAACAAGCCTACCACTGCGTATGAGGGTGGCACAAGATATGGGCCTACACAACACTGGCCACAGTATTGGGGCATACGTGTCGCAGCACTACATATCAGAGAGCGACACCCCGAGAGACAGAAATATCCCACTCCCTTGCATCTGAGCTGGAAAGATGGGGCGCGAATTGGGCAGAACGACACATCTGGCCCAGACCCCGGTTGACGAGACGAGAATGGGTGACTGGGCGAGAAGGGGTTGTACAGGTCAGTTCAGGACCGTAATCCCTAAACCCTAAACCCCAAACCCTAAACCCTAAACCCCAAACCCTAAACCCTAAACCGTAAACCCTAAACGCTAAACGCTGAACCCTATCCTGCGCCCGATGGCGCCCTGGGCATGGCGAACTGAAGCAGAGATCAGACGTGCATTCGACGACTTCGGCGCCCTTGTGGGCCAAACCCTATACACTAACTACCCCTAAACCCCTAAACCGCTAAACCCCTAAACCCCTAAACCCCTAAACCCCTAGACCCCTAAACCCCTAAACCCCTAAACCCCTAAACCCCTCAGCCCCTAAACCCTAAACCCCTCAGCCCCAAAAGCCTAAACCCCGTAATCCCCCTAAACCCTAAACCCTAAACCCTAAACCCTAAACCCTAAACCCTAAACCCTAAACCCTAAACCCTAAAACCTAAAACCTAAAACCTAAGTCCAAAATCCTCAGTCTGCGTCTGAGGGGGCGGCGGAACTTCAGAGGGTTCTGAGTGCGCACCTCCCCCGCAAGCCTTGTGCCGCAGGCTGAGTTTTTTGGGGTTTAGGGTTTAGGGTTTTGGGTTTAGGGTTTAGGGTTTAGGGTTTAGGGTTCGGGGTTTAGGGTTTAGGGT